TGCTTGAGAAACACATTGAATTATTTTTTTTTTACAGTTGCCAGACAGTATTATATTAGTTTCAGGTGTATGACATAGTGATTAGACATTTATATAACTTACGAAGTGATCACTCCAATAAGTCTAGTACTCATCTGACACAATCTATAGTTAGTAAAATATTATTGACTATATTCCCAACGCTGTACTTTACATCCGTGATTGTTTTTATATCTAGTAATTTGTACACATTAATCCCTTCCCCCCACCCCTTTCCCATCTGATTTTTATGATTTCTTTTTTAAAACCAATCTTACTCTAGCTTTTCAATGACATCCTTAGGGTACACAGACTTAGATTTTCATTATAGACATTTTTTTTTTCATCCTTGTATGTACAGATACTCTGCTACAGCAGAAATGTGAATTTAATGAGATGCAATACCGCATCTTTAAAAAGATAGCATATATCTAATACCTGTCAGCTCATCAATGTTTGGTCTACTACTCTACAAATTACTACATATATCATTCCTGACACCTAACTGATGTAGAGAATAAAACGCAACTTATAAATTTTGTAGGACTCACAAGCAAGACATAGGTAGCCGAACATCTGTTCTCAAATTTGGTCTTAGAAAAAGTAATGGCAACCCAAAACAATTTTTGTTTATCCAGGATATATTAAGTATGTATGTATGTGTGTATATATACACACACACACACACACGCACACACACACACACACACACACATATACACACACACACACACACACACAAACCATTTTAAACCCTATTGGAAAAATTTAAAATACACAGACAGGGCATTAAAAATAATATAAGCAGGGCACAGTAGAGCAACCAGTTAATACAAGATAGTTGTCTAGGGCAAACACATTGAGAATATAGCTAGGAGCTTCTGTGCTTCTCAGCATAGAAGGCAAGAAAATAAAAAGGCATCTCAAAGACCAGAAACACATACTGAACACCCAAGTCTACCAAAAAAGATTTTGTGATGGTGGCAGTGACTTTAGTTGTGGTTGTTTTATTGTATTATAAGATACCAGATTATGTGAATTGAGAATCTTCTGGAATTTCAGTGACTATATCTTGAAAATCTGACCATCAACTCTTTTAAATGCTTGAAATTTTCAGCCTTATAAACACTAAGAGAGAGCATCTGATGGACACATAAGAACATTTTTTTCCGATTCATTACCAGATGCTATTTGTTCCACATATTTGTCCTTCCTATTCTTGAATATTTCTACATTTTACTTAATTCTATTTTTAAACAAATCTCACACACTTAAATGCCAGAATTATTATGTTAAAATGGTATTTTAAAGAAATATTTTTATTGGATTTCAATATTAAAATCTGTTTCCAACATTATTTTTTAGATCATTCATCAAAATTAAATGAAAAATGTAAAACCCTAGGAAGTTACATATTAGAATAAAGTAAACCAAAATAAATCGTGATATAATTTCATTTAATCGAAGTATTAAAAATAGCCCAGTCTTCTGTTGATTAAATATATGAGTATGAATTCCAACAATGCCACCAGAGGATTATTTTTTAAAATTTAGATTGTAGAAATGTCAATCATTCCTAGTTAGTATATTCCTAATGTCATTAAGAATGGTTACTAGATATAGCTTGGTTCATTTAAAATATGCAAAAAAATTCAGAATCATTTTATGGAGATTTGAATTGAAATTTAAATTATAAAGTAACAATTTTTTTATTTGATGTAAAAAATGAAAACTGTGCATATATTTATTCTTTTAATAATTAAATGAAGGAGTATTATAGGTTATAAAATGCATTTATAAATGTTTATTAAAATAACAATATTATTTTTTAGAATATTGAGTAGTCAATAATATCAATTAATACATTGATAGTATAGTGTTTGGTTAGCATTTATTTTTCTCTTTTATGGAACTAAAATAAAGTAGTTCTCAATATCTATATATAGAATATTTTAACAAATTATTCAGTGCTCTGTATCCCCTAGTGTGAGGAGCAAAGAAACTGGGAGACTCAAGGAGAATTTCCACCTAACCGAGGGGTTGGTAGAACATTTACTCACAATGTACCTGCTTCTTTTACATGTAAGAGGCAAATTCGGAAGTAATTTTTTTTCACTTGGAAAAAACATTCGATAAAGTTAGAAATTTACATATCTAATTCAGTTAGTTAAATGATAATGTCAAATAGTTGAAAATACAAAGGAGTGTCAGTAGAAAGTTTTCACCGCTCTGCACATACGACAACACTATATGGGAGGTTATATGGACCTCCTATTCCAACAACATCTTTAAAAGCAGACATTTGATTAGCCTCCTGTCTCTTCTAACATAACTTCATTAGCATTACTATTTTAATACACATTTGTTACAATAGATTACCAGTTTAACACATTTTAAGTTAGATTTTGTTTTCTCACATGGATTGATTTTTCCATGAAATCCTCTTCTATTCCATCTTCTGCAAGAATATCAACTAGCCTTCTTGTTTAGTCAATTCAAATAATAATTATATGTATCATAGTTGTTGGCGTTTTTTTCCCCCTGAAATAATGTTATTTGCTAGATTAATTCTCATTTTACTAGTGCCCACTTTTAAAAAGTGTTAACTTGATTAGGACAGATCCATGCAGAATAATTTCCTTTTTTATTTACTTAAAATCAACTGATGAGGTATTAATTATATCTTCAAAAATCCCTTTACCTTTGCATGTAGCATAATTTTACCATGGAAATGTTATCCCACCATCTTTGCCATAATCTATTGGTTAGAAAGAAACCACTGATTCTCTCTGTACTGAAGATGAGATTATACAAGGGCAGAACATTTGTTTGGAAATTGTTCATTTTCATTCATTTTGTACAGGCTCATAAGGGAATTGGCATATGATTTTTCATAATAATCGTACTTTTAATATTTCTGCTGGAACCATAGATAAAGCATGTATTTTGACTCTATTAATATTTATTTAAGTCTTCTATTAAAATAGTCTTGCCAGACATTTGTCTATTAATTAGCATTTCTAAAAATTCAGATTGGCTCTTGATGAGTTTTCAATTGCATCTATATATTTTTAATTAATTAATTTATACTAATGTCCATCTTATTTCCTACTTTTATTTGTTTTTATATGCTATTTTGATTTTCTCTTGAAACACTTGAGTAAAATATTTGCAACCTTTCCCTTTAACTAAAGTTTTATTGAGGTATAATTTACCCATAGAAAAATTTACTCTTTTTTGATAGAATGTTTTTGGATTTTGACAAATACATAGTCATACAACTACTAACAAATCAAGACATAAAATATTTTCATCAACCCCCAAATTTTCCCATGCACTTTTATTGTTAATTCCTCTCCCAGCATCCAGCATCTTTCAACCGATGATCTATTTTCTGTCTCTATAGATTTGTTTTTTTCCAGAGTATTATATAAATCGAATTATACAATATATTACATTTTAAATTGGGCTTCCATTACTTAGCATAATGTGATTAAGATTCATCTATGTAGTTTTGTGCATCGGTATTTCATTCTTTGTATTTCCGAGAAATATTCTATTGCATGGATGTAGCATTTTTTTTCCCCCAGGACATTTGGTTTGTTTCAAATTTCGAATAATTATGAATTATAGTGCTATAAACATTCACGATTATAAGAATTATAAGTAACTTTTAAGATTAGAATTACTGGGTCATATTTGAAGTTTTTGGATAAGTTGATAAGAACGTGGAAAATTGTTTTCCAAATATCTCTAACAATTTTTCATCCCATCTGTGGTGGAGGGAAGTGGCCATCACTGCAAGAAAGCTACAGAAAGCAATTAGAACAAAACTACTAAGGAAAGTCTTTGCACTGCCAGGACACAGGTGAAAACCTGCTGAGTCTGGGAGAAGGGGAAAAACAAAACAAACAAACAAACAAACAAAAACCCTCTACCTCAGGAGGAGTGCAAGAAATCCATCCTGGGCTTATACCACTATAAATCTATTTTGAGAGAGGGACACAACATTCTATTGCATACCTCCCACCATATATAAAGGACAAGAGTCAGCAGTCATGGAGTGTAGAGGCACTTAAATAATCCACCTTTCAAGCTCAGGCCTGCCTAAGATCGAGGTTAGATAAGGTCAACAGAGAAACTTTTCTCTATTCTATCATCAAGCTTATAAGAATTTAGTAACTAGCAACAGCAGTACACCCCTAATCAAAAGGCAGAGGGAAGGAGAAAGTTCCTATTTGAAGTCCAGGCATAAAAGAAAGGCAGAAAGGGGAATGTAGGAAATGAACATTCAAGGAAACTTTCTAGCTTCGCAGCATCCAACTCAATCAAAAGGATAACCTTAGAGGTCTTGAATGGGAGGAGGCAGGTGGCGGTGGCCCACAGTGACTGTGGTGGACGGCCGGGGCCGGGCTGGGGCTGCGCTTCTCGGCCTGTCGCTGCTCAGCCTCGTGCTGTACGTACCTGGCGCTGGGGCTACCGCTGCCGGGTGGGAACCGAGCCGCGAGCCCCGAGGTTCGTGCGCCTCCTGCTCGCTGTTTCGGAACGCGCTGCGTCAGCGAACACCGCTGCCTCGGGCCAAGTCAGCAGTAAACGGAAACTTCCTAGAGCCAGGACCCTCCTTGAAGGAAAGATCCGACCCTGCTGAGCTGCTCCCCATGGGCAGTTACCTGAGCAAGCCCGCCCCCCAGCCTGCCCCACCTCGGGAGGCCAGGGACCTGCGCGAGTGGCCTGGCCACACCCCGCCGCTGGCTCCCTCGGCCCCCAGCGTCCACCACGTTCACCCCTCTCTTCACTCTCCTCTTCGACCCTCCAGGAGGCCTTCCCACAGGGAGTTTGAGACTTTATCAAATCGGTTTGTAATAACACCTAGAAGACGATATCCAATCCAGCGGACCGACTGTTCCTTTCTGGGGATACTTCCCACAGTGTGCTGGAATGCTTGTCACAAGAAGACTGTTCTTTCTGCTCGTAATTCCAAAATGGTGTGCAGCCCGGTGACAGTGAGGATTGCTCCTCCCGATAGAAAATTGACTCGTCTTCCAATGTCCAAGCAGTTAATCTGCTCAACACTGTCCTCACCATCGAGTGATGCTCCAGACCCATGTGCAAAGGAGACCATACTGAGTGCTCTCAAAGAGAGGAAGAAGAGAACAGTGAAGGAGGAAGAACAAATATTCACTGATAGCCAAGAAAATAAAAGAAGGTGCCATGATAGCAGTGGGAGTGGACCTTCAGTATTCGAGTCCCTGGTGGCTGATAGAGTCCCTGCTTCTTTTGTGCCTAACCTTGGGTCTCTGAAGAGAGGTCTCAATTCCCAGAGCTCAGATGACCAACTGAATAAGAGATCCCTCATCTCTTCTATGAGCTCCATAACAAGCAGGTACGCAGGTGGCCTTCCTAGCTCCAGCCGCAATGCCATTACCAGTTCTTATAGCTCTACCAGAGGTTTCTCTCATCTGTGGAAGACAGGTGGTCCCAATTCACCACCCTTTCCCAGCCCAGATTCATTTCACTCCCGGACACCGAAGAGGCTTGAAAGGAAAATAAAAGAGGAATTTTTTCGTCATTCTAGTTCTTCGATTCAGTTAGTAACCGACAAGGAGTCCGGAGGAGAAAAGGCTGCAGATACAACCACCTGGAAGAAAGAAAACTCGTGGAATTCTCCATGTACCCTTAGCAGCTCTGGGCAGCGGAAGCGGAAGATACAGCTTTTGCCCTCCAGGCGAGGGGACCAGCTGACCTTGCCTTCACCTCCCCAGCTTGGTTATTCAATCACTGCCAAAGACCTAGACTTTGAAAAGAAAGCTTTGTTACAATGGTTTAACAAGGTCTTAGAGAGTAAGACTAATGCTGCTTCAAACTCTGTCACTGAGAACTCACTTACCACTCAGCCATCTTTTACTTTTACCCAGCCTACTGCTGGGACTGCTTCTTCCCAAACCCCACTCCTGGCCCCCAGCACTGACCCACTCTTAGAGAGCTTAAGGAAGATATCAAATTCCTCAGGCCTACCATCCTCCCCAGAATCTGCTGGAGTGGCAACTACTGTGGCCCATTTGCCACCGAAGATATCCAGCCTTCTCGGCCCTCTTGGCTCTTCACAGACAGTGCCCCTTCCAGGCACCTCCTCGGACACCAAATCCGCAGTTACTTTCTTGGGGTCGACCCCTGCTTCTTCTGGGATACCTGTCACTGACACCACCAAGTCACTTCTTGTCCCTCAGGCTGAGACATCTGCCAAATCCCAAGCCCTGTCAGCCCCACTCCCTACCCCCAAGCAAGGTGTTCTGTTTGGAATGTTGAGAACCCCACCTGCTAACCCTTCTGCCGCTGCAGCTCCTGCTGTATCTTCAGCACCTTCTATGTTCAAGCCCATTTTTATGGTCCCACCTAAAAACAATAATGAGGGCCCCTTGCTAGCTAGCCCTTCCAAAGTTACTACCTCAACATCTTCCAGCTCTGCCCTTCCCTCGACTAACAGCCCCTCACTCATCACTTTCAAGCCAATCTTTGGCAGCATGGGACCACCTACATCTGTGCCCTTGTCAACTCCCTTCTTCAATCAAACAACTACTCCAGCCACAACCACAGGCACCGATCTCTTCACTGGCCAGGTCAGTGCCACATCAGCAGTGGCTGCCATGACCATATCCAACACTTCCGCAGACTCGACTTTAAAGCCTGCCTTCAGCTTTGATGTGAGCAGTGTGACCAGCACCATGAGCAGTGTGACTAGCACCACCACTTCCACCTCCAAGCCTTTCCTCTTTGGAACTTTCCCCGCCTCTGGTGCCAGCTTTACACCAGCCATGGGCTCCATATTCCAATCTGGCAAGCCTCCTGCCATGCCCACTTCAACAACAGTCACCACCTTTGGCCAGTCCCTACCCAGTGCCATGCAGACAGGCACCAGCAGCAGTGCCACAAGCTTTGATGGTTTTGGCAGCACCTTTACAGCCTCGGTCCTGGTCACCACCAACCAGCCTAAGCTGACATTTAGTAGCACTGCCACATCAGCGTCAAACATTCCCTTTGCCTCAAGCACCAAGACTCCACTCTCATCATATCCAGGAACCAACCCCCAGCTTTCATTTGGGCAGCAGCAGGGAGCCACCAAACCAGCCATCACCCCCAGCTTCGGAAGCTCTTTCACTTTTGGAAACTCTGCAGCCCCAGCCCCAACTGCAACTCCAGCGCCAGCCCCAGCCCAGCCAGCCTTTGGCAGCACAGTTCAGTCAGCTTTCGGTGATTTGAAACTCACAGCCTCTGCTTTCAGCACCCCTGCCAGCACCCAAACAGCCTTTGGCAGCACCACAGCTGTTTTCTCCTTTGGTTCAGCCAACACCTCTGGCTCTGGAGCCACAACCCAGACCACCAGCAGTGGGACAAGTAGCTCAGTGTTTGACAGCACAACACCATTGACCTTCACGATTAGGGGCTCAGCAGCCCAAGCTGGCAACAGGAGCTTTGGGATCAGTATGGTTACCCCAAGCACTACCTCCACCTCTGGAGCATTCAGCTTCGCAGGAGGACAGGATGGGATGACTAGCAACACAATCCCTTTTGGAGGAGGCTTGAGTCAGAACACCTTGGACATGCCCAGCCAGAGCACACCCTTTGCCTTCAGTGTGTCCAGCACCCCTGAAAGCAAACCTGTGTTTGGAGGCACCTCCACACCCATCTTTGGTCGGAGCTCCCCTGCCTCTAGGGTGGGCACATCGGGCAGCAACTTTTCCTTTGCAGCATCCTCAACACCTAACAAAGGCTTTATTGCAGATGGACCTTTGGGTTCAGCGACCCCTTCATTTTCCATTGGTGCAGGATCCAGGACCCCAGGAGCTGGGCAGAGACAGCAGGCCCGAAGGCAGCACACCCGCAAGAAGTAGCCCCCACCCCACCCCTTGCCCTAACCTAGACTCTGGCACCTGCTAGGAAGAGCCTCTGACTTCTCTAGTTCCATAAGGCAAACCCATCCCAGACCTCTGGCTTCAGCCACCAGGGAGATAGTAGCAGCCCTGGGGCCATTGCCCTCTCCTCAGGCAGCAGAAACCTCAGTCCTCTTGGGGGAGAAGTAGGCAGGATATGACAAGGCAGAGCCCCATACCTCTACTTGAACAGTTCCTCTGATAAAGCTGGAGAGAACTAAAGAAACAGCTGTATGTATCGTCCACTTCTCTGATTTGTTTAGTATATAAGCTTAGTCAGGCAGCCTCCCTTCTTGCCTTTTTACCAGGAGTCATCTTTGCTGGAGGGTGGTAGATAGAACCCTGCCTGCTTGCCTCTCTGGTATGCATTTGATGGAACTGAGGGAAATGCATTATCCTTAAAGCTTGACCTTACTTGGCTTTGCTATAAAAAGTGATTATCCGCTGGTCCCTTTAGGCTGTTTCTCCATTTCTTGCAGCTTTGTTCTTAACTAGTTCCTTCCAGGATCTATTCTTTCTTAAATGAGTTTGAATCTAGCTTTGCCTTGTTCTACTTCCTCCTGCCAAGTGTAAGTCAGTTTTGTCCCCAACCTTCTTGGCCAGTTTGGCCCCTAAAAGCTTGGTGGTTCGAGCTGTTAGTCTGGCACATCTAGGGGTGATCCCTTGCTCCAGAGAGGGAAGCTCTTGGAGCAGGCAGGATGCCCACCACTGCTTTCAGCTGCCTCCTTGCTTATCCTCCCTGCTGGCCTCGTTGGGCAAATCTGCCTCTGCAGGATTGTATGTTTAAAACTTTGGCCTGTTTTTACTTTTTCTGATGCTCATGTCTATTTCTCTTTGAATCCAGTTTGGAGGAGGAATTGAATTGTATGAGTGATGGCATATTGGACTTAACTGTTTCAAGATTCTGAGACTTAGCTAAGTGAATGTGGACAGTAACACCACTCTATAGCTATAAGTTCTGTCTCTTGGATTTTCAAATGGTGTTTTGACTTTTAGGGCTGGCAGCCCAGAAGGATGGGGCCAAAGGGAAGCAAAGACCTCTTCCTTCTGTTGTTTCTCTCTCACCTGCCTGAACTCACAGGAGGCTAGATCAGCCCTAGTATATGTTAGAAAACATAAATTAATGACCCATAACATTTTTTTAATGTTTTTAGTTAAATTTAAATTTCTTTAAGCTTGGTTCATTGAGGTAGTTAAGTGTAAATATTATTGACTAAGAATTGCCTGAATAGATAAGCTATGTTGGTGTGAAGAAGCTAAAATGCTGTCCCAGGAGCTTTCCTGAGGGATAAGAGCTCCTTCAGGACACATTGTATAAAAAAATAATTATTTTATAACTAATGTGACATAGATGTAACTGGGCTCCCTCCCTCTTTTGTGACCGAAGTTGAATGTTCTGTGTCAGGAGACTGCTCATCATCACGCTCTAATACTTGCCTGTCTGTAGAGTTGAGGAGGAAGCCTGAACCTCAAATCCCAAATACCTGTTAGGATTGGAGGAGTGGAGTGGGGCACAGATCTAGAAATCAAGCTTCTACCTGTACCTTAAGTAAGGTAGACCTTCTTAGTTTTAGTACTCTGAGCTAGTTTACCTCAGTTTCTCAGGCAGAACAGTTGGCCCAGGAACCCCTTGAAGAGGGTGTCCTGACATGGCCTGAGTGTGTGTGTGTGTGTGTGTGTGTGTGTGTGTGTGTATTAGTGCATGTATGTGCATTGGACAAGAACAGAAAGCTGAGACTTTCCATTACAAATAAAAACTTAATTCCTATGAGTCTAGTTGGAATTTTTAATATAAATGCGAGATTTTTCTCATGTCATTAAGAATTTGAAAAAAAAAATATCCTCTGTTATAAAATAATTTGCATCTAAACCCAGCTCCATCTCAGTTTTTGATGAGATTATCGAAACCTCCCTCCAAAACACACAAAAACAGTCTAATACTAGAAGCAGCACCCTTATCTTCAAGCATAAAAATTATTTACTTCTCTCTCTACTGTTCTCCTCTTTTAGACAAAAAGTTCAGTGTTTCATCAGCAATTATGAGTCATAGAAAAACCAACCACGAAAATAACACATTGTTAAGAAACAAAAGATTCAACAGAACCAGAGTTAGACATGATCCAGATGTTGGAGCTATCAAAGAGGTAAATTAAAATAACTATGCTTAATATGTTAAAAGTCCCAGTAGAAAAAAAAATTAAAACATGAAGATCGAACATTTCAGCATAAAAATGGAACTATAAAAAGGAAATAGAAGTGCTCAGTAAAAGAAAGAAAAAATATTGTCACTGCATTAGTTTTCTACTGTTATCTAACAAATTAGCACACATTTACTGATTTAAAATAACAGCTATGTATTATCTCACAATGTCTATGGATCAGCTGTTAGCACAGTACTGGTGGGTCATCTGCTTGGGGTCTCAAGATGTCAGCTGGACTGCATTCTCATCAGCGAATCAACTGGGGAGAGATCTGCTTCCAAGATCTTGTTGCTTGTTGGCAGAATACATTTACTTGCAGCTATAGAACCCATGGTGACTTGCTTCATTTGGGTCAGTAAGAAAGAGAGTTTCTCACCTCAGGGAGGGACCCAGCCCCTCATTTAAAGGTTTTCAGCTGATTAGTTGAGGCTCACCCATAATAATCTCTCTTTAGATTAACTCAAGAACAACTAATTTCAGATCTAATTTTGTCTGCCCAAACTTTTGACCTTTTTTCTATAATCTGATGGCTACAAGAAGTGTTCTATTTGTGCTCAAAGGAAAGAAATTATAAAAAAATGTGACTCATTAGGTTTCAGCTTATGGTGTATCTAATATAGTGAGTAGCCTAGATCGCAGTGATTCTTCATGCCTTTACCATATAGAAGACACATTTACCCCATCCCAAGGTCCCCAGAAGTCTTATCCCATTAGAGAATCTGCTCTTAAGTTCAAGATCTCATTGTCTAAGTCAGGTCCAGGTTTAGATGATACTCCTAAATTTAATCCATTAAATACAACTCTTGGGACACAATATCTCACCATCTTTTAACTTATGAAATTAAAGTTATATACTTCCAACCTACCCAACATACTGTGGTGGGGCAGGAATAGTTTAATTGTTGTAGGCCTTTTGATTCAAAAAGCAGAAAAAAGATGGTTAAACAAAGTCATTGGTCCAAGGCAGTTCTGAAGTACAGTCAGGCAAACTCCAGCCATATCTTCTTGATTTGATTTCAAGGTCTGGCAATACTACTCTATGGCTTTCTGCTCTACCCTCTGGGCTATTTGTTTCCATCTCTAAGTTATTTTTTCTTTATCAAAGAAGATATGACACATTTACATCTGATTAGTTTTCTCAGACTATTTTCTGCCAGTAGAATGTTGAAGGTCTAACAATAGCCTCTTTTCATTTAGTATACTTTCTGATACATAAAGCTTTCCTGAGAACTTACACATTTTATTCCTACCTCTGCTATATCTTATAATCTTAGAAAAAGATAAATTTATTTGAAGATAATATTGATGGAGGCATATTCTTAATAAAGTCTTCTATCCAGTAGACATACCCTAGAATTTTACATTTATTTCCCATTGAGGGTGTTATCCTAAAAGCAATTAATAGACGAACAAAAGAAGAAATGAATAAAAGCCCCGATACTAGCATTTAATTTTTTGTATTTTTAAATTTAATTTAGTAAGAACATGTCAAATTTTAGAGTGTGTAAGGACTGCTTTAGCATTTTTATATATAACACCCTGAATATGATGCTTTATGGAGTATTTTTCCAAATTATGTATTCTTTAACTTAGACCTTATATGCTATCTTCAGAACGTAATTTTATATATATATATGTGTGTGTATATATATATATATAATTAGTGTATACATGTATGCATATATATACATATATATATATACACACACTAATTTTAATAAACCAAACTATCCAGTTTTCAAGACCATGTATGTTAAATACGAATAGGGAAGTTTATAATGGGATGTCACACTGACAGCAATGAAAAATAACACCTGACAGACTTATAGCAGAGAGAGAGAATGACAAATAACCCCCTTAAAAACTCAAAAAGCTAAGAGATTGAGAAAATTTAGCATAGTGATCTAAACTGGGTTCTGAGGATGTATTATATCAAAAAAGGATGTAAAATTGACATTCTCAATGGTTACATGAAATCATTAAGATAACTTAAAGTCTATTTTGAATATTATTGTTAGAGCCCTTGCTTATTTTTCATCCTGGGTCAGTTATTGCAAATTACCACTTATAATGAAAAAATGTGAAGGGTCACTGTATTAAAGGACATCGTTCACGATACGACGCATTCCATTAAACAATAATGATAGGAGGGTATGCATTCAATAGGGTTCCTTTGCATTAACTCCTATAGTGAAGTCTCATCAGTTTGTTAGGGTTATTTAGGCAAATTCTCTAATACAATCGGTCTGAAACACAAGCAGATCACCAATTTTATATTTATTATTTCTATAATTAGATAAATTAAAGAGAACTGATAAATCTAAAATGTATTATGTAGCATTTTAGTTATTATAGTCACAGATTTTCTAAAAGAATGAATCGTGGTTTGGTAAATGTTATTAGATATTATTTTAAAAAATAAACAATATTTACATCCAGCAAGTGATATATACTGAAAACATATCTTTCAGCCAATTCCACAAATGGTGGTAATACTATTCAAAATCTGATATTGTAAGTAGGTGTCTTTAATGGCTAAGACCATTGTTAGATACTCTTTCCATTTAATTGCAAGTTTCAAATGGATATTAGTACATGTTCTTGAACAGATACACAGATTTTTTTAATTATTTTTTTAAAAAATATTTGGTTTTTATCCCAGAGGAGATGTTGACTATCTACCAAAACAAAGATATCAGCATTCTTAGTTTTCACTAAAATATTGCAATCATGAGCTTTGATCATTTATTTCTTAAGCAG